TTTGCTTTGAGTTAATGATATACTATAATATATAATTAAAATTATTAACTCTAATACAGTGTAGTAATATTATACTGTATTAGTTTTATTAATATACTAATAATAACAAACATCTGTTGGTTCATCTCTGAGAAAAAATATGGAAGTTTGTATAGACAAAGCCTCTTCTGAGAGGTTGGTGACACAAGTTGTTGCTGTGAGGCCTCGGTGATAATAGCTTGTGGGGTCAGTGTAGCTGAAAAGGAAACGCCAAACTCTTTTCCTTCGATTGTTTGGATGATTTTTACTTGAGGTTGATTGATGTGATACGTCTTTCCATTGATGTCTGTGATTCGTTTTGGTGGAACGGTGAGCGAGTGTCGCGTCTCTTTTTTTTTCGACATTAGAGAGTTTGAGAATTAAGTTTCGTTTTTCTTAAAGATTATTCAACTCTCGCGTATTTAAACACATATTTTTAATACGTATATTAACTTTATTTTTTCGGGACTTCATTTATTTTCTTTTTTTAGAGTTGATATTTTTTTCCCAAACACCAAAAAAACTGTTTCAGATTTGTAATTCAATAGTATTTTTATAATTAAAAAATTATAAATAATCAAAAATTCTTTAAATTATTGTTTAACAAGGATTCACCCCACCACCAAGTGGCGTGGACCCCCCAAAACAGCAAAATAATAACATATTTATAATTAAAATTAGGCAATCACCAATAAAAGTGACCCAAACAAAGAAAAATTAAGCTAAAGCTATATAAATATTACTTATATAATATATTTGAGTAATTATTTTAAATTACTCATATATAAAGGGGCAGAAAAAAACCGATGTTGGAAAAAAAGCGATGTTGCCAAAATAATAGTAATTTAATAACACTTTTATAGTTAGTTGTATAGTTTATTTTTCCACTTTTCCTCAATTTTATTCAAAAAAACAAGGTTAACATAACTTAATTTCTTTTTTCGAAATGTAAAAAATCATTTTTGAGATTATACATTATTTTTTCTTGTAAAGATAAGGTTGAATTTGCCGAAAGACAAAAGGGAAGCATAAAATAACGACTTCTAAACTGTTCTTTGAAGCAAGAATAATATAAAAATTGGCTAAAAAAACAATAAAAAGATTTGAAAAGTTGATTAATGTTTTCAATATTATTTTTCCTTTTTAGCATAAATACAAAAACTTTTAATCAAAACCCCGTCAGTGTACCTTTTTTTCACACCCCTTAACTTTAACTTTTAATTTTTTTACATGCTATTTATCGTTCATAAAACACAAACTCCACTATCTAATCATTACATATCAAACAACTTAATAAACGTATCAATATTCACGCTCTTTCAATGTAACAACTTTTCATTTCTTTGATCAAAGACCGACTGCACCTTTATTTCACACCCCCTCTTGATCGATTCCTCATTCGATCAGAAATGCAGTCCACGGCCAAACTTGAAAAACGTTCTTTCAAAAGCTACACCACACAAAGTTGAGTGCATCCATTCCCAGCCCTTTTTTGAGTCCCTGTCAAACAAATGAAATACAGAGCTCCTTTTTATAATCAATTAATTTTTTGAAACTTTTTTCAAAAATCGAAGCAAAATCAAAAAACTGGAGAAAAAAAACAAAATAAAACGATTTTTTAATTAGAAACATCGAACATCGGTAATATTCCGTTTCATGTGTCCATTTGTTTTTTCCCTGTTTTTTAAATTTTTTGAACAAAACCTCAACTTTTTGTGGCAAATATCATTTATGTCAAAG